CAACATGGAGCGATGCATGTATGAGAGGACAGGAGCTGTGTCTTGTATACAAAACTTCTCCTGCACAGTGATGCCTCCCCTCTCAGTGCAATGGTGGATCCACTCCAGGTTTTAGTTCAACCTTCCAAGTAGTTATCCAAAGTGCTGAACCTATTTTAAGGAGGTTCAGCAACTTCAATAGCTCCTTCAAAGTTCAGCCTAAATTCCAGAGCAGATTCATTGTCATACTAATACTGGGAACCAGCAACAGCCACCACTCCTTTATATGGATACTTTCTTTGCACAAAAGGGAAGCTCACTGTTCTAATGGCCCAACTGTCAGCAAACACATACTTAAGAGGAAGCATACAAGGACACACTTCAAGTACAGGTGGTAAAACTAGACACCCAGTGTATTCCACAACCTGTTAAAGTTGCATTTTTGGGAAAGGAACTGCACGGTGTCCATGAGTAAGGCAACTGGGATGGTTTGAGGGGGTGTTTTGTGATGAGGACAGAATTCCTCAGGGCAAGGGCCATTTTCATACTTCACAATTATAGCAATATAATTCCACTTTAACTTCCATGGCTACATCCTTTGGAATTCTGGAGAATGTAGACTGGGGAAGTGTTAAAGCTCTCTGGCAGGGAATTCCAAATATCTCTCCTTAAATTGCAAATCTTAGGACTCCATAGGACATTCCCATGACAATTAGAGTGAATCACAGCATTATAAATTCATAATGTGGAAGAGCCCCAGGGATGAGAATTGTCACTGGAGTACAATTCCCATTATTCCTCATCATTGACTCTGATGGATGAATTTGCCCAAATCTGGAGGGTCACCCAATTCTCACCTCTGCCTGAGACCAATGGAAGCAACTTGTGGTCTTCCAAAGACTGATGGATTACTATTCCCATCATCCCTCACCACTATCAATGCTGATGGGAACTGATGTCCACCATGCATGCTCAGGAGCAAACCTGGCACCTCACAGGTTTGGAGAAAGTAGCTTGCTTGCTTATTTATTTATTTATTTATTTATTTATTTATTTATAGAGCTCCATCTATGTACATTTCAACATTGTAAAAGGTACTTGCCAGGCTCACAGAGGTCAGAAACATACAAACAGATCAGTAAAACCATAGAATAAGGCTCTTCTAAATAGAGGCAAGGACCACACTGTAAGAATATCAGGTGCTAGATTTTGAAGCTATCACAGCTGCATGACTCCTGCATTGCTCCATGGAATTTTAGCAGGCAAATGTTAGTATTGCCATCTGCTGGAGAGAAAACAAACTGCTCCATGTGAGAGAATTCTGCTTGTCCTCACTGATATACAGAATCTTTGTACAAAAATTAAGGATACAGAGAGACAAGTGTGTGGAGCAGTGAAAATGACATGCATGTTTGTGAAACACAAGCAGAGAAAAAAGATTTTGTCCTCTTCACCACTGGAAACAATGCTTTTATCATTTTGTCAGCCATTGCTCAAGGCAAAGAAGAAAACTAGAGTATCTCCCCAGTATTGTGCTCCAAGACATCCCCACTTCAATTAAGTTTATTCATTTGTGGAGAATTTTAGAAGAAATCTGCATCATGTTTGCCTGCAATACTACAAGCAAAGGTGCAAGCCACATGTGGGCAGGCAGCATGTATCCCCATAAATATTGTTGGACTGTACCTACCATTGTACCTCAGTACTGACTAGGCTGGATGGAGATTATGGGAATTGCAGTCCAACAATTTCTGGAGGACCAGAGGCTGCCTACCTTTGATCTAAACCAAAAAAGCATGTTACACTCTACACTGACAAAGGAAGAAATGGGCAGGAAAGAAGCTACAAAACTGGAACTGCACCTTTTCCACCCTCCCAGCTATAACTGATTTATTTCAGAATAAAGGTATGGACTAACCTTTGCTAACCTTATATTTTCTAGGTATGGGACCACATCCCACATCACCCCTCTTAAGGGAGTAGCACCCTTGGACAACACCAAATGGGGGAGGAGGCATTTTTGAGCATTTGGCAAGGCTGGAATCCCAGACGCCAGCAAGATGATCATTTCTCACTGTAGCCCTGGTGCCAGCTATTAAAGACAAGAAATAGGCCTGGAGAGAAATGCAAAATCATGGTTGGCGAGTCAGGGCTGCATTATTTATCATCACTTTCAAAAAACATTATGTGCTACCATCTTCTCTCCAAGTCTGCTCTTTTCTACATGCTTTGGTAGGCCAGATCAAATCCTTCCAATGTTGCTCCACTGGAATTACAATTAACCCTGCTTGGCCTAAACAGAGAAAGGGGCTTTGTGCCGTGATACAGGCAAGCCACTACACAGAAGTAGCTTTCCATGTGCTTTGGTGATATGTGTCCTCATCTGCATTGCAATGGTCGTATGGCTAGCTCCAGCTGATTCTTAAGTCTGGGCACCACAAGTTGTCTGCTTGTCCTCACATTGGCATGGACTGCTGGAAGTAAATGAAGTTAACCCCTGACTTTGGGTTTGCTGCTTGCTTCTCTAAGTTGCTCCATCTAGGACAAGGCATACACCAAAAGAGCACAGGTAACTCACCATTTCTATTTTCTTGTGCTACCTTGTTGACAAAATAGGACAGTTGGTTGTCAGTCCACCTACAGACCTCAGATAGGCACGAAGAGTGTTTGCCTTCTTCCCTTGTCTTAGGAAGGCCCATCACACACTGTTGAGTATAACAACAGTGTGAGAATGTAGATTTTAGCTTGGAAAGTTTTACTGTTTGCGCTACAACACCCACAGTCCTCCTCCCGCTGAAGGACTCGGGAAATTATATCCCCCAAAGTAACTTTCTTGAATTCTACCCATTGCCTAGGACAGTGATGGTGAACCTTTTAGAGACCAAGTGCTCAGACTGCAACACAAAACCCATTTATTTATTGCAAAGTGCCGCTTCCCTCTGGTTTTCTAGTAATGGACTCTGGAGAATTCTGTGCTGGAGCAACAGTGCACATGCCCAAAGAGAGGGCTCTGAGCGCCACATGCCAGAGGTTCGCCACCACTGGCCTAGGACAATGCTTAAACAACATGGCTGTCCCACAGTCCTCTCTCCATGAATGAAAGTGGTATAGGAGCAGCATTTTAAGATGGGGGGGAGCTTATTGGAGGCATTAGGATGGAGGCATCAGGCCTAGATTTTTCTGGGTTCAGTGGAAAAGATGGAAGTATTGCGGGGAGCAGGGGATAAGGCTGTGCAATGCAGTGCAGGGAAGGGAACACTCTGGATCCAGGAAGAAGAGTGTGCTGGGAGTAGCCTGCAATGAGAAAGAAAAAATTAAGTCATGTAAGAGGAAGTCAGGGCTCTTCCAGATTGGTCTAAATCAGCGGTAGGCAACCTGTCCCCTTTAAGGGCTAAGGGACTTCAGCTCCCAGA